CAAAGAGAAAAGAGTAAGCCTGTCTGCAGCTTAGCACTTAGGTTACACAGCTCAAAAGGGAAACCCTGGATGATATTCTTTGCTTCAAAGGCTATTTCCATTTTCTCCAGTGACTATCCCCTTTCTTTCTCACCTGCTGACACTTATTTTCCTGACATCAACTTTCTGTATGAAAAAAACAGAGAGTTGCGAAGAGGTTGATCCTAAGAATGTGTGCTCTGAGACACATGCTGGCCTCATCAGGCTTTGAGACAGGTAAGCCTCTTTCAGTCAGATAGATTTTCATACCGACTAGATGTTAAGCTTCTCAAGCATATGATCATAAATCTCTTAGGGAAGGTGGTGAAAGTTATCTGAGGTGGTGAAAGTATATGCATGCAATAATAGGAGCAACTCACCACCAGGAGTTGTCATGAAGCTAGTTAGCTTTAAATCTACACACTCTAGCTCGTACTCTAGTAACTTGTTAATCCGTATGCTCCGGTCTGATGTCCTCACCAAGGCAAGAAAATACATACACAACAACCTGTGTCCTTACTCCAGTATATTTGCTACTTAAATAGGGTCAAAAAATAATTCTACAGAATCACCTGAAATTAAAATAAGATTTTCTAATTCTAACTGCTGACAAAACTTCCAGTACTATTTGTAAAGTGCTTGTACTCCTTTGACCCATGCAAAGACCCCACCTGTCTCCCACAGTATTCTCCTGGAGAAGCCGACAGTAAGTAAACATAAGACGTGAATCCATTCAGTTTACAAATGAAAGGACATATTTGCTAGTTTCAAATTACAACCCACCAACCTGTGGGCTTCTAAGATGCAGGCTGAGTTTTTCTCTCATGTCTACCCTTAATACCTAAATAGGCAATAATACTCATCATGCTCTTAAGGTAATCCCTGCAAGCCCTGTTAAGACATGATGAGTGATGCTCAAAGCATCAACTAGCTTCAGAAGTCTGTGACAACTGGATGTAACAAGAGAAACAATCCTTCCCTATTTTCAAGATGTCACTGGAAAATACTCCACCTGCTTGGCTTACTACTTTCCAATCTACCTGCCTCCTAGCCCCTGAAGCAGTTTCCAAAAGACATTCTACTTGAAGGCAGTCCTTTTCCCACAGCTGATGGCTAACAACCTCGTGATTTCAAACAATATAAGGCTGCATTTATCCAGGACCTAAGTAGGTGGAACTCCAGAGATACTGTGTAGTGCTTTTACCTGTAATAGAATTGGTCATCAAGCATTAGGCAAGGACCAGGATCTTCAGAAAAAGGATAGATTTCTGCAGAGAATATGCTACTGGGTATTTTCCTGGGATGTAGTCTCTGGGAGCCCACATGATTTCTGTAGTGTTCTGTCCAGGGATACCACAACTGTTTCCCTAAGGTTTTCTGGCATTATGCTTTCTGCCTAAGCGCAGTAGACTGGAAAAAACAGGAGCAGAAATTATACTATATAGAAGTCAAAATCTATTTCTTACATATAAGACTCCACAGTACAATCTAGTCCATTCTGAGCTCTGTTTTAGCAGCCATCAATAATGACAAGTAGTTACACTGCATATCCCAGTTTTAGCAACCTGGGAAAAAAAATTTCAAGAATTGCTTTATGCACGCTCTTACCTGTAAGATGATCAAGAACAAGCCTAACTAGTTTTCAGAAAGAACAGAAAATATAGCATTAGTCACCTTACGAGATGTAGTATTTCACCATTTCTCATGAATTCAGGTGTTCGTCTGCTCACCCACAATTTGAAATATTTCAACAAATAAGGAGAAGGAATGTAATGTAACATGAAAGTAAAGTAAAATCAGGAAAGCAAAACTCAAATTTATGATCTACTGGTTAACAGCTTCAACTTAGATCTGATCAGTCATACAGGAGTTTCTCCTCCTCCTTTTGTATGCTTTCTAAAATCCTTTTGTATGTTTAGCTCAATCATTCTGACAGCTTCAGATAGTAATCCTCACTGCCAGCCTCACAGAAAACATTCCAACAAGTTTGTCAGCATGACTCTGAATTCAAAAATACTCATTTACCCTCAACATCAAATATTCAAAAAACAAAAACAGTAGTGACTTTTTTTCTTTTTGTCTCTGCCAACGTACTGACTTACAGATTTGTGACTGTATTCCACCTGCCTAGTTTTACCCCCTTGCCAGTTCCTCTCCAGCATTCTGCAAAATCCTGAATGCAGCATAACACCAAAACCTAGAGAAACTGTTGTGCCAAGGCAAGTAGGCCAGAGAAAAAGACAGCATTTTATTTTCCCAACATAGCACAGGGAGAAAGCGAACAAGTGTGCTGGCTTTAATCCACACAAAGCAAGAGGGAGCCAATGCTGTCTCCATTGAAAGGAGCTCTCTTCTCACTATGCACTCTTTTGAACAACAGAACATAGTCAAATTAAGGTCAAAAATGCAGTACACAAACAAATGATTTCAGGACACAAGAGCAGTATAAATAGTGCTGCTGTACAAGTAAACATGGGATGACATCTGATTTAAAACACTGATCACCAAAACCAGCTTGTCCAAACAAAAATTAGTATTAAAGGACATGACCAGACAAATAGAGTGAATTAGATCAAGTATCTTTGATGGGATTTGAAGATGAGGATTCTCGTTCTGAAAATAAATTGATCTTTGCCCACTCTTTGCTGTCAGATCATAAGAATATTAACTGCCCTTAATTCATCTGAAAAGTTTTGCAATAGCAAAGTAATTCATTCCTCACCGCACCCATTTTTTTTCTTCGTCTCATATTCAAAATTAATAGCTGAAGTCACATCAAAGTTCCTATGTGACTCTCTATGGAATGCACATCTAACATTACTATATTAAAAAGGATTATTAATATATTTTTTACATTCATCATTTTACATTTAAAAATCCACTACAATAAAGCCCTTCTCTTGGGAACAACTTACACCAGCACTGACACAAACACACTAACTTCAAGGAATAAGCTGAGTGCCCTACAGTAGCACTTTAACTTGCATCTGCTACTTGTCTGCACTCATTGCATTTTTAGTTCACACAATGGAAACTCTCTGTGCCAGCTGGACTGCTTTTACACTGCTGAGCTTGAATAGATACTCCAGGGTATAACATAGTAAAACCCAACCTCCAGTAAGCATCTGCTATATGGGCTGCAAACAGAACAGTACCATAGTAAAGCTCCTGAAGCATAAAGGAAAAAAAAGCACCTTTTGCAACAAGCACTTTGCTGTATGGATCCACTTTGATTGCATTACCCTATTTGCTGAGGTGGACATAATTATCCCCTTCTGCAAAATTCTTTCTTGCAAAATTGTTTGAAAGGTTAAGCTTTCTGAAACTTTTTTTCTTGCTCAGATGTGAATTTAAACATTACTTTAAAAACTAACAGAAACTTCAGTATTTCAAATTTAGTTTATGAGTCTAAATATCAACTTAAGAGTTAATATATCCTTTTTAAAGGTAATCTATAACAAGCCAAAGTTTGAACTTTCAACTCAGCTTCACCTTACACTGAGAGCAAAAGCTGGGGCAACAGGACAGAATAAGAAATTAGTACTACACAAAATCCCAACCACTGATGTTTATAGTGCAAGTCAAGTCTCCAAGGCAAATACAGTGATGGGATTTACTCAAATGTAAATGCCTATAGTTGTAAATCAAGTCGGATAGAAGAGAACTCAAGAATACCAAAGTAAGATACTAAGCACTTTCACGGTCAACTGTGAGATGTTTTCTGCAAAAAGTTTTAATAGATCCTTAGTTGCTTCAAAGGTAAAAAGAATCCCCCAATAAGGAATCCTTGACATATTATTGTCTTATGCATATGTAAGACACGTGTTTATCATCTGAAATCACAGAACTCCTATCTCTCATTTTGATACAAGACCTACACTGAATGCATTTTCCATGGTGCTCCCAGGGGGCAGTCGTTGCAATAGGGCTACAAGTGCTGGTGACTGTCAGAGCTTACAAAGGCAAACCACTGCTAACAGTCCCTAGCTGGTGTTGAGGACATGCTGTTTATTACAGAGGGGTTAGAATCATTTATTCACAGTAACTGTTCTGGGATACACTATCACACATTTTACATGCAACTTCCCTACTTGATAAAGGATCTCATTTAGAGGACGCATTATTGAATGGGTTCACCTGAAAAGGGCCCCAAAAGGCAAAAGCATCCCTTCCAAAACTTCAAAGAAGATTGAAATGAGTGTATTTCAGCCAGGAAAAAGTAAGCAATTAAACTTTTATTCATGATCATTTATATATGACTAAAAAATAAAAATAAAAAAATTCACCACAAAATGCAGACTTTCAGTTGTCCTGTATTTAGCACAGAAAATGGTCATCTCTCCGTAGTAAAGCACCAAGGAGCACATAACAGAACAGTCAGAAACAGACTCTGAGCATCACTTTTTTTCCTTCACGACATACCATGATAAAGTTGAAGATTGCATACAAGTCTAGAAGTTTCAGAACAAGTTTCAGAGTCACCTGAGTGCTTGGCAAGAACAGTATTAATCAGTAGCAGTTATATTACCTGTAGTGGAATTTACAGAGCACTTTCTGCCTGTTTTTGCAGAACAGTTCAACAGTTCACGGACGTAACTGGGCCAGTGGATTTCATATTTTACTTTTAATTTTCCCATGGCAGTCAAACAGAACAGCTTGCCAGCAGGGAGTACCTGTAACAACTCTAAGAGCACATGGCAAGAGGGAAGGAAAGTTATCTTCTCATAGCCCAGCTGGCAGGACCCACACACTTACAGGCACCTGTACTCATTACTATACCCAACTTTTTCCATTATGTTTATTTTAATTAGCCTCTTTCTCAAACATTCTACATTTAAGAAGACATGATTTTTAAGTTAAGTTGCGTACATGGACAAATACATGTACAAATTTTGGTAGTAATTTAAAGCTATAAAATTTATATGCAAAGAAAGCCCTACAGACCCATTACAGATTAAAAAGATGTAACCAGAATCAGAATGCTACTTACAAAACTATTTTAATACAGAAACTAATACAGTTATCAAATCATTCATTAGAGAATATATCGTTATACGAAAAGAAATGCTGCCTTTTATTACTTCAGCAGCAAATAAGAAGGCAACATTAAGAAAGTGCACAGCAGAAAAGAATTGTTCAGTTTTCTGAAAAAGTTGAATTTATCTTCAGACATCAGGCTTTTGTCTGGAAATATATTGGGTTAGGATTGCTTCTATTCTCTCCCAGATCAGTCTCTTCTTGCATTAGTTTTCAGTAAGATGCTCACTCCGACATGTAGGAACGATACATCAGGGCCACAATAATTGCTGCTATTGCCGGGATCACCCAGTTGGACCATGAACTAGGAAGAAGTTTTTGAAATAAGTATTTCAGGAAATGACACCCAGCAAGTTTCAAAAAGTCACTGTTCCAATAGCTTCTGTCCCTCCCACCCTAAGAAATACAGAATGTTAAGACAAGAGCAGAACACCTAGGCCAGTAACACTTTAGCCAAGAAAAAAAAGTCTGTCCTCTTCAGACTGTGCACTAAAGCTTACAACAAATTTGTTTGCTAGAAAAGAGGAAGACTCCAGATGTGTTTAAAATCATGGCATCATGCCCAGAATATCGCTCATTCCAAAACTATTTCATAGAAATTTAGGACTTAACAACATTCAAATACAACTTTCAAATACCCAGCTTCTCATTTCAAGGGGTGTAGAAAGTTATTCTGAGGTTTCAGCAATGGGCAACAGTAAGCAAAGTATAACTTTAAAAATAATGACTTAATGATATTTGAACATATGCCCACCCCCCACACCACTGACAGATTTTCCTTCTTGTAGACAATCCTCTTCTTTCCCTTAGGTACAACACCTGTGGCAAATCTTAAAAATGGAAGACACATCACTAATAGCATCAAATGTCTTCTATTCAGCCAACAGCATCCAGAAATGAGAGCTTGTAAGCGTAAGCAATTTGGTAGAGCCTGATTAATGCAAGAAAAAAAAAAATCTAGACATTACACTAAGATGCATGTAAAATGGCACACAGATGCCAAACTATAGTACACACACAATGGAACTTGTTATGCAGCATCCTTCCACATCTGTTTCCTACAGAGAGGTGCTATATCTTGAACTTCGGAAACATTACTGTGAGGAATTTCAAATTTGATATCAGATGCCATACTGTACCTGGAATTAGACTGCACAGTGGTAATAAGAGTTTCCTAAAAAGCAAAGCAGAGAGAGATTTACATCAAGCACATATTCCTGTCCATACTTAACTAGCCCCTCAATTTCTCAAAACTGATCAAGGGAGACTAATTTTGAGAACAACTCAATGCTCTGACTTTAGAAAAGTTTCTCAGATTTCCTGTAACAGAACTGTTGAATTAGAAGCTAGATAGCAGCAGTTTTTGTAGTCAACATTGCAACAAAATTCATTTAAAAAAAACAAACAAAAAAAAAACGCACCACAAGAAATTTTGCTGCCCAATTTCCATGAAACTTCAACCTCAGATTACATACGAAAAGTTTTAGTGGCCTAAAAGACAAAGATCACTTGCTTGCTGAAAATCTAATTGAACGGACTCCAAATGAATACATGAGACTCTTACACAAAAGCAAGGTCCTGATTTACATCCAAATGAGGCTTGTTAAGCTCAGTCTGTTAGTGTGGCATTTCAGACATCGTAAGAATTACAGGCAAGTTATTATATCTTTTGATATAGATATGCATTTTTTTTTTTTAAATTTGGTTTCCAAAGAAAAAGAATCACTGTAAGATCAAATGCTGGCTGCACAGTTTTTAAGCCTACTTATTCATTTCTGGATTAGCAATTGCACATGGCGCTGAAGATCTAAGATTAAAACTGAACAGAAAAATGAATTCCTTCAGTATGACTGCACTATAAACATTCTCAAAGAGTGAAAGAGATTCCTCACATCTTTCCACGGGTCTAAACAGGCTACTTTTTCAGAAGCCTGTCACAGGTTGATGCACAACAAATGCTAGGTTTAAAGAAAAAAGGCTCAGTAATTACATCTCTATGAAGAACTAACCCTAAAGTCAAACCACGTGGAACACGGTCGAACACCTATTAAGTTTAACACCTCATATAAACAGACGTGCCAAGGCCAGAAGATGGTCCCAGCCAACCAGCCTCTATTTGCTCAGCAGCAATAACTGTACAGTTTCATCTCTGATTTACTTACTTCTTTAATGGACACTAATTTTAGGAGTTCACAAGCTGAATGCCAACACAACTTTAATGATGACAGAAGAATATGTTGGAACAAATACACTATTGCACTGACAGGACACCAAAGTCTGCTGCAGTAGTCAGGAAGCAAACAGCATCTTGAAAAGGATTCATTAACTGATCTATACTACAGCTATCAAATCTGTCTGAATTGTCTATCTACCAGTATGCCAATATGTTGTTAAGTCATTTGCTTCTCTTTTGTTTAGAAGCATAAGCTTAACCTATCCTGTCTATAAATATTTTTCTTAAACTGATACTAGAAAACCACTGACAGATTCTAGATTCATCTTTTTGTTGTAGTATAATGTCATAAGACTTAACTTCTTTGTTAGAAACCACAAAAATTAGAGAAAAGAAAAGCTAACAGGAAAAATAAATTATAAGGCCAGATCAACATGTTTAAGAGGCCTATGATCAGAAACACCACACTTAAATAAAGTTAATTATTTTTGCTGCTGAGTCTTTACAGAGAGACACCACCTAACACTCAAAAGAAATAACATGACATTGCAAGAAACACACTTACTGCCGGCTTCTGAAGCTTCGGTCTGTCATCCTGCAGGAAAATAAAGCAAAAAAAAAAAAAAACAAACACATCTAGATGAGCACCCAGGACGTAAAAATAATAAATAAATAAATAAAATACATTTAATCACTCAATTCAATTCACAATTCTCATCCGTTAATGTGCATCTATTCTTCCACTATGAAAGAGACTTGCAAAAGAGATGTCAGTGTATTTTGTTCAGCTACTATAAACAAGATCACCTCCTTGTATAATACTTGCCATGAGACAGTAAAGTAGTAAAACTTGATTCTGCACTCAATTATTTCTTCTACCAGTGTTTTCGCATTTCTTTTGTCTCTGTACAGTATGCATTTCCTTAAGCTAACACATGGATTGCAACAGCACTAGTTTACTCCTACCAAGCCTACTCATATTATTGAGCACAATTACCTAACTAGTTTGGTATAATCTCCAATGCAAAGGTCTCAGGTTCTATGGATCTTTCACAAACTCTTAAAGCTTTACATGGCACAGTCACATTCATTACAAAAGAAACAGCACCTTAGTGACTGTTCAAAGTGTATGGTACACAAAACTATTGAAATGCTTGTTCCAAATGAAAACAGGCACCTGTCAAACAAGAATGAACTGGACTGGCAGCCAGGATACAAATTATTTTACTGGTATCAGCTGCCACCCGAAACAGATGGCAAATCTGCAGGACTGCAAACATGCACCACACCTGAATTACTTCATATTAGGAGAGGCTTACACTAGTAATATTCATCAAGAGAGAACCTCAGATAGGTACAGGATCAGGACTCTGATCCCAAGATCAGTGTGGTATCACTGCCTTGAGTACTACATATCTGCCCCAAATGCATGACAAAAAATATCAGTGAGGACAAAAGAACAGGCAGGGATGGAAAGTACAATTCTCTGCACGCTATCTGCCTAGATCTCCCGTAAGTGGTTTTCAACTACTGCCATTGGAGAGCTTATAAACAACATACAGAAGGCAACCATGGCAGCAGCTCTGTTGCTAGAAATTATCCTTCAAAGCTTGAGGCAGCAAAGTTGTTGTAGGAACAGTAAATATGAAGAGTACAAAAAAAGAAAAGTGACACGATCTAGTGGAAACTGACAAGCAGGCAACATCAGCACACCGCAAGACACAAGGAACCAAAGACAGGGAAGATAGACAAAGAATCAGGTTTATTTTTCCATCTAAACATCAGAATGTACTTCTTTAACTGTGAGGATGACTGAGCAAGAGAGTTTACAGTTGTCCGAAGAAGCTGTGGAGTCTCCTCCTCAGACATCTCCAATAGCCACCTAAACATGGGCCTGGGCACCCTGCTAGAGCAGATGGACCAAGAGGTCCCATCCAGCCTCAGCCATGCTGTGATTCTACAGTTCTGCTGAAGCAGTCTTCTAAATATACATACAAAGCTTCTAAATATACATACAAGGCCAAGATGGAAGTCTGGCACACCATTTACAATGATGAATGCATGAGAGTGGCTGAGTAAGCACTCAGCATGTTGACATTAGAAAGGTTCTCGACAGTTGGATATATAACTTTCAGGAATTATAGAGTCTCATTATATAAAGCTCAAAGGGTGCACCAGAAACAGCATGATTCCATACTCAACTTATTTAAAAACAAAGCTATGAAATATTCCAAATAAGCCACGTTTGAGATGTGACCATCCTGATTCTACACTAGTCAATTCACTTCATAAGGGAGGACTTCCTCCAGATCAGGTCCATCCAGAGCTACAGAGTAGCATCCAACCAAACTGGGAACTCTCCACATCTTGAAGCAAAATATCAGCAAAATGGCTACACACAAAAACATCAAGTACTGGTATTCTTGCATACTCACCGGGTGAAGCTCCCCAATAATAAATGTTTCCGACAGTGCCCTTGCATCTGTAGAGTGGCCAACATCTTCAAAGTTCTCAGTAGCATCTCCCCCAGCTTGCTCCCTGAGGACTTCTTCTCCACCTGGGTGCTGCAATTTTTAACCAGTGTGAATTCATTATTGAAAACCATCCCCCATTCTAAATATGGAATTTCATATATTTATTTCTGAAAATAAACAGAAGTCCTTGCTAGACTTCTTAGAGCAAATAGAAGACTCTCTCAATAACCAGAAAGCTTTATCTTTCTCAGAGGCCAAAATCAAAGAAAAAAAGGTCTCTACTTCATCAGTGACAGACCAGCAAGAAGCATAATCCTAGCAGCTAAAGCAGCATTTAGAACATTACCAGAAACAGACAGTATTTTCACAGCCAAACTGTTATCTAAAGTTACGCTCTGTGTTCACAACTCCACAATTTGGATAGAAATATTTCTATCCAAACATAAGTTGCAGCAAGGAAGATACACATAAAAAGAATAATCAAACATGGAATAAGCTGGCCAAAGAGCATGCAGAATTTCCACCTTTTAAGCCTGCCTCTACAAAGCTCTGAGGAACCTGACCTGACCTACGTAATCCCAGCTTCAGCCTGGGGATGGAGCCTCCTCTCCTAACCTCCAGGCGTTCTTTCCTAAAAAAGTTATACCATAATTATCCAGTAAGCCAGCTACTTTGGTGCAGCTTAAGAAGCGCTGGAAGCACAAACAAGACACACACAAAAAAGCCGTTTCATTCTAGCTGAGTATGGAATCCCACCACTGCTGGTAAAGCAGTGAGACGGCAAGAAGTCACTCACCTCAACTCATCACCATTCCCTTAACCAAACTCCCTGCTAACTACTTCCCCATGATGCACTTTTGGAATTGCACGCAGTTCTACATTTTTATCCATTAATCGGCTGCATATATACAGCAAGACATCATATTGTCTAGTTCAGCGAGTTCTCAGCATCAAACAAGTTCATCAGTTATCAGATGAGCAACATGCCAAAAAGATGCACTGCTCAACTTGGAAGCAGGGAGCTATTCCATAAACACCAGGAGTTGTTAGGTAAACAAGTTGAGACTGTTTTAGCCTTGGAGTAAGGCAAACATGAAGTTCTACTACTTGAGAATGGACAGAGGAAATAAGGCGTTGGTGCCTTAATTCCAGTATTAAGGCTTCTGACTACAGAATCTAAGAAGATGAGTGTACGCGAAACTTGTATTTAAAGTTATCTTGCTTAGTGTATAACTGAGCAGAAAAGTCATTCTTACAGGAGATTAAATGACACAAACATTTATACTAGTCTAAGGAACTGAAGTTAGCATTTACTTCAAATCCTTCGTGTTAATTTGTTATCAATCCTTTCTTTCACAAAAGAAGACTTGTTCATATAGATTAAGATGACAGTATTCCAACTATGCCAGAACTCCAAAGCTTGAATTCATCTTCACGAAGGCACATGTTTATTTTTACAGATTGAGAAAGCTGCTCAAAAGCAGGGTTGTTTTCCCTGAAAAAAGTTAGAATGGCGAAGGATCTCTAGCATGACTCAGCAAAAGCAAGATTAAGCAACTGATAGAAATATCAGCCATAGTAGCTGCGCCAAAAAAGGTTAAGAGAGTGCATGCAGAGTAAAGATTACGCAAACAGGCGTGCAAACATGGCACATGCTCACTAAAATCCTGCCCTTGAATGCAGCCTGATAAGTATTCAGGGAAAGGAGTGAACAAAAGTTTAGAGATTGTTCAAGTCCAAGTCTAAAATGCTGAACTTAGATCTAACGGGTTCTCCTAGATATTGCTGCAACTCAGTCCTCACAGAATTCATTCAACAATGTTTTTATACTATGTTTAAGAACTGTGCTCTCAGAAACACACTATTCACAGAGGCATGTCACACTGTATTGACCATGAAAAGCCACGTGGAAAGATTACTGTCAAGTATACGTACACCTTCAGCAAAAAAGGCAGCAAAATTTCTTGGAAAACATGCTTGCTGACAAAGTCGTCAACAATTAGCAAAAAGGAAGCGCAGTTATGCAATTTATAAAGCACTAATACCAAGTACATTCAAATTCATGCACTGACGTGAATCCAAGCCCTACTCATTCATAGAAGTAGATAGATAGAACACCATTAACTTCAGCTAGATGCCAAACAACTAGATTCCTAGCAGTACAACTGCATTTAAGTTAAAGCCATTCCACAGGGTACTTTAACAAACCACCTGCAAACTGCGGTACAATCATCCATTACTGTGTTCCCAAATCCTTCCCTTGTACTGCTATAAACATGGAGCTACATGAACAGTTCCAAAAGGCACTCTGGCCTCCCTCGGATGGATTTGTTTTCAGTTTGATCAGCAACTGATTCCTCCAATACCATGGTTCTGTAGTCAGTGTCATCATAGAGGAAGCGTGACCATGACCAACACTCTGCCACACATCAGCTGCTCGAGTCAAATTCAGTCTGACCTCTGCCACCAAAGCTGGACCAGTGGTACTTTTCCCCTTGTATCAGCAGGACCACGCTAGAGATAAACATGTTTCCAACTTAATCCAAATAGCAGAAGACATTACTAGTAACCTATTAGACAAAACTACTTTGAAACTTCACACATCTTGTTTTGACAATAACTCTGCTTAAAAATGAAAATTTACAAGCCTGCAAACAAGCAAACAAGCAATTAACGAGAAGACTTGACTTCCCCTAACAAGAAAGGGAAAATGTAAAGTCTCACAAATGACAAGAAATTACTTCTCTATCAAAAGCTCCTTTGAGTCCTCTCAAAGTTTGTCTGTGCACAGCCTTTGCTCACACTTCCACATGATAAGTGAAAACTTGCTACCAGAACTTCCACTGCAATAAGAAAAGCTTTCTGGAACTAGAAGCTCATGGACTATACCACTAATGACCCCTAAACCAAAATTCTTTTGATATAAGTATTTTTGCAGATAAATTTGTGGTTCAGTGGAAATGAAAAGGTTTTTGCTGCTCAGTTAAGCTACTCCAGCTCATTCCAAAGACTGTCCCAATTTAACAACATAGATATCTAAGTTGCACGTGTAATGGAAGTTTGTAGAAAGGCAGCATAGACTAAATCCTTACAGCAGCACATTTAGATTTAAAGCAACCAAGCAGTTAAATTCATTGTTGTCATCTGGGTCAAAAGTCTGCAGTTACTCCATCCAGAACACCTATCAGATCTTCTCCCTCTTGCCACAGTCACGCAACTTCCCCAGTGTCATAGTTCAAGATTGTTTAAGTTTAACTACCATAATTCACAATCCTTATCATCCCATCCCGCCCCCCATACTGAGAGGTGAATTGAGTTTTCAGTCCAATTTAAGTTTTGAGGAGATAACTGAAAGCCTCCACCAGTTTTGTGCTCTACAAAACACACCAGAAGCAGAGACAGAAGTGCCCTGAGAACCCTTGGTTCTATTGTGTAGAAAAGAAAACAGCTGTTAGTCTTTTAAGGACACTTTCATGCAGTTAGAAGTCCTCCAAATGACTTCCATCAACTGTTATAGTTGCAGAACAGAAATTTTACAGTCATATAAGACTTAAGGCCATAGGAGAGTAGTCCTCCTTGTGAGTTGTATTTTTGAAAGCCATCATTAGGGTTTTATACACAGCGCAAAGAAAACACTCACTGGTTGAGCACCCACTTCTCCAAAACAATTACAGCCTGCAGCGTTTCACAGGAAGAGTGCAAAGAATTGCTCTTTTTCAAAGCATTTTTAAATCCCCCTGCAAATTTCACCATAACAGTAGCTTTAATCTCTAGACTGCAAGGTCCTGCAGTAAGAATTCACGTGGTATATCGATAGACTTAACAGTGTGCTACTACTGGCACCTTTTGATGCAAGCTATTCATTAACTTATCCCCATCTTCCAGAATATCACCATATCACACAAATGTGAATTCACTGCCACACAGCAGAGAGACCATTTTTCTTTCTGGCACAGTAAAATAGTATTTCTTTTTTCTGCACTTAATTCAATCAGCATTCCAAAAGAGAGAGCTCTCCATCCCATTTAGGAAGTGCTATGAAAGCACAAGTTCTCAGCTTATGAAAAATGGCCATTAATATTTTCACTCTGAACAGTGTTTCCAAAGCAATGTTTGAAATGACTAAAGTAACTTAAACATGAAGTTAGCACTAGGTGAATATTCAACACATTCCATAGCGTGCTTCCAGAACATAATTTCTCTGAGGTAGAGGCGTTCTCATTCACATTGGCTTCTCTGCCAAGCTTATGTAATCCAATCAAGATCCCATCAAAGAAATTAGGAGGACTCTTACTGCAAGAGGAAGCAGAGATCAAGACACTGATTATTTTGTTTTTTCAGTTTTTATTTTTTTTAAATATATTGAACTACTTGTTTAGCTTGTTAGATTGCTGTCAAAGCCTGTGCAGCAGGATTGCTTTATTTTCTTACCTAAAAACATGATCAAACATTACCACCATGCTTAACTCATTAATTTACATTTAATATTATAAATGTAATTAATTATATGCAGTTCAGATATAGCCATAATATCCTGCTGTGAGTATACAATCACTTCTAATAGCTAATTTTTCCTAGAGGAGGTCAGAGCCAAAACTATGAAAAAGTTTCCCAAATTTTCAATAATATGGGTTCCAACAATCTTTAAATGAAAAAGATGATACCGAAGTCTCAGGCACGGTCTATCATGTCAAACACATTCAAACAGCACACTCCAAAAACTGAGCTCTTTGGATTACCCATCTTAAGAGGATATACCTTGATATCAAAGAAAATTCAGATACATATTCAAATTATAAAATTTAAGAGAGTTTCCACTAGGAAGGAAAAAAAAAAAGCAGTTGCTAGAGTCTTTATCTGCAGTAAGACATCAAAGTATGTAATCCTTTTCTTCTCCAGCACTTCCATCCTTGTTTCAAAGGATTTTATTAAGCCCTGGCCTTAGGAAACTAAGCCAATGCGGTCACACTGTGTACACCTCACCCACAGACCACTTACTAAACTCAATCCAGTATAGACAAAGGCTGATGGTTCCCCAAGCCCAAGTTCCACTAAGCATCTACCACCTTAATGCAGAGATAGCAGCTGCACAGTCAAAACATACCCTCAAAGTACTGTGAAGTAGTGAAAGGCAGCACCATCATTCACATCTTAAGCATGAGAACATCCAGGGTGTCTTTTAACAGTGAAGCACTGGAAAGTGTTCAACTCCAGAAGCAGCAAGAAAATATTTCCAAAGTTAAGGCGTTAGCTAGAAGGATTTCCTGTTGAACTGAGGAATAAGACTGGTGAAGCTTGCTGCTGTTCCCAGTTCTTCACTCCCTGGTAAACTGAACACAAGCAGAGAGATTGTGAATGCCCTGTCCCTAGAAGCGTTCAAGGCCAGATTGGATGGAGCCCTGGGCAGCCCGGTCTAGCATTAAATGAGGAGGTTGGCGGCCCTGCATGTGGCAGGGGGGTTGGAGTTTCATGATCCTTGAGGTCCCTTCCAACCCTGGCCATTCTGTGATTCTGTGACACTCATGTGTAATCCCCTATCAGGAAAGAGTGAGATGCTGTTTTAGCAGCACTCTCAGAAAGACCAGTAGCCTTACTTTAGTAGCCTAAAATTAATTACTGAAATATGTTAAGCTTTTTAGCACCTGCAAGGAAAAGCCCCAGGGGGAGCAGAGTTTGACCAGTAATACTATAGAACAGCTAACGTAATTCCTGCTTTGCTGAGAAGCATTTACCATAACCCAGAACGCACCAGCATGAGGCCAGCATGAGTTCCTCCTTATCCGTCACCTGTAAATACCTTGGAGTGCCTCAGACGGTCTACAAAAATCAGTACTTCGCTCCTGAAGATAGCCAGCTACCAAAAAGCACGCAAAGAGGGCAAAGAGTAAAGCATACTACGGACCATTCTAACGCAAGGGTGCCACTCTGCGGAGCCGCCAACACGTGGAGCACCCTGACCCTTAAGAATTTCCCCCGGGAACGCAGCTGCACTGAGAGGGCTGCGCTGTAAACAACGCAAGCCTAACGCAAGCAGCAGCGGGCTCCCGTCACTGCCCAGGCGATGCCCGCGGACAGCCGCCGCCCCGAGAGCCGCCCGGAGCCCGCCGCCCCCTACGGCCACTTCCCGCTCGCGGGCACCCACCTCATCCAGGAACTTGGTGATGTCGTAGATGCGGTTGTGCACGATGATCCAGGTGCTCTGGCTGTTGTTATGCTTCTGCACCTCCTCCAGCCGATAGTAGCGGCCCCGCCACGCCTCACCGCCGGCTTCGCTGGATCCCACCATGTCCCCGCTTGACAGACAGCACGCCGCCGCGACTCAGCACAACCCCGCTCTCACGCGCGGACGCCAAATACAGCCCCGCCAACAGCCTATCGATGCCCGCCTCCCCCCTCCACTTCCTGCTCTCTCATTGGCGGAAGGGTATGTCTTTCAAACAAGTCATCAGGCTACCGGCCGCGGATTGGCGGATCCCATGTAAAGGGCGGGGCTAGCGATGTCGCCACAGATGTGGGGTGTGCTCTCCCGGTCCCCTCCTCCCCGGGCGCGATCGGCGCTCTCCGCGTGACCCGGTCACGTGCGCCGCCTCGCCTCAGTCAGCCGGAGGCGCGCGAACTCTACCCCGCTACCTTCCTCCCCCTCGGGCCGCGCTCCGCTGTGGCTCCTCGGGCGAGGCGGTGTTGGCGCCGCGCTGTGGCCGTGAGGGGGAGCGCTTCATGGCACCGCCCCGCCCTCCTGCCGCAGGTGCGTCCTCACGGCGTTCCTCAGCGCCTCCCCGCCGTTCTGAGGGGGCAGGGAGCGGTTCCCCCTGCCTTCTCTCGGCGGCGGTGTTCCACACACAGTTGACCTGTTTTCCTTCAGTTTTATTTGAGGTAAAACCCAGCTCCAGGGCAGGTCTCTGTGTGTCAGCTCCTTCAGGTCGGCAGTGCCCTATTTCACTGCTTCCAGTGTGATTTTAGGTTGTCTTCTTTTTTTGTTTGGTAGCTTGTTTTGGGGGGGAGGGATTGCTTGTTTGTTGCCAGCGTAACTTACAGGGCATGATTCAGGTGCTATTCCCAGTTTACGACAGCAAACCCAAAGTCCCTGCAATCCCTTACAGCTTCGTGTAGCTTTCAGTGCTGATGAGGAAGGCCCTCTATACCATTGCCCAGGCCAGTGTGAAAATAGTAAATACTGCTTACCAATTCTGTGATTGCCTGTTCTGAATGAAGAACAGTGACAGCCATTCTCTGACTGAAGGTCACCTTAGCATGAGCTGTGTTGGTTTTAAGATGGTGTGTTAGATCACTGCATCTACAGGTGTAATTCCTCCTGCACAGTCAAGATCTGCTGATAAAATCACCCAGGTGCCTTCTTTATGTGATTCCTGATTAGCAGATCTGCATCTCTGGATACTTCTCTCTTTTTCCTCTCCCCTGAAGGAACAAACCATCTACCAGTACTCTGTCCCATTAGTTTTTATGATCACTGGGAAGACACAGCTTATGCTAAATACAGCAAGTACCTCCCACATGACAGTTGTCCTCTGCAAGCAAGCAAAGCCCAGGAAAACTGTAACATGCTTTACAACATCTTTATCACAAAAATCCCCATTTGGCCATTCAGAAGACTTTTAAACTTCAATGAAAGCAGGGGACCCAGCCTTTCTTTCCTGCATTCGCAATCTGATTTTTTTCCTCATTTGTTTGAAATGGTGCTTTGCCTTAAAGCTATAGGTTTTGGAATTATCTGATGAAGTTCCATGTCACTTTTCATGACTGCAAGAAGAAACTTGAGATGTGTTTTACTTTAAGGATAAGAAACAAGGACACACCATTTTCTCAAAAATTGTCTCAAAACACCAATCTTGGGATTTTTCTACAATTTGAGATGAAGGGTTTTAGTGTTACACTGTAGGTAATGCAAAGCAAAAAAAAAAAAATCAGAACAGCAAAACTATCAGAGCTAGCAAAAACTGTTGTAATAGTTCCTCAAAAAGCTCACCCAGTCCATCATTTTTTATTATGATTTATACAGTATCAGATATTCATTGCAGGGAAGTTAGACTAGATGGCCCTTAGAGGTCCTTTCCAACTCTAAGGATTCAAAGATTCTATGATTTACACAATCTGCTTTTCAGATAATATCTAGTGACTTCATAACATTTGGACAACAAAACTGCTTTCTATTTATTGATAACTTCACCACTTTGGTAAGGCCATTTCCAAAAAGGGGTTTTTGATTTGGAGGTGGGTAGGAGAACCATTAAAACAGCTGCTTAAAATAGCACTGGTGGCTCCCCTTAGACATAAAGTAGATTTTCAACCTGCCTTTTTCTCTGTGGAGCACTTCGAGATTCCTGCTGTAGTAAAGAGCTGTATTTTCTTTGAATAATGAAATTGTACATTTTGTCATAAACATTTCCTTTGTATTGCACCTGGACTATGCTGCAGTACATAGACTCATACAATAGGCATAAAACAGAAAACCAGCTAACAACTGTAATTTTGTTATTCACTCTCTTGAAGTTTGTTAGCATTACTCTTTCTTCCTGACAATGCATTCTGAAGAGCAAGTTTGGGGCAAGGAAGAAATTCCTATCTCTGCTCAGTGTATAGTCCTGAAATAGTTATTGCTATTTCAATTGTGTGAACCATTATGGAATGATAACAGTTTACACTCACTGCTCTCTCAGCCCATTTGTGGGAGAAATAGCAAGAAGGAATAGTAGGATCTTGTCCTCTGTCTGAACTTCTGGCTATTTCGGTTCTTCTTTTCAATGCTTTTTTAGAAAAATTCCAAAAATTATGGAGTTGCAGCAGGCCTGGTCTGTGTTACAGCAATCAACATACACATGCTTTGCATTCTAACTCTCCATATCCAGTCACATGTAATTCAAGATAATATTGTGGCCTGAGTCCCAAACTGCCTCACACTCTTGCACACAAAACATAGTCAGTTTCTATTTTAAGGCAAAGCTTAGGGTGTGAGATACAGCTTCATTAGGACCACTATATGTCAAATCACCCTCCACTCCAAAGAACAAGTCTGTTCTCTTTTTATAGCTGTGTTAGAGTGCAACTAAGATACCCACTGAGACAAAAATGCTGCTTTGAGTGTGAGAATAGGAAAACAACATAGCTTAATGTGATTCTGAATCAGTAGAAATTGCAGTATCGCTAAGAAAATACTGCCTTTCACATAAGCAAGCATTGACCTGTCACCTGAAGAGTAGTGGATTTAAACAGGGAGTGCACAAGTCTTCTGTAGCACTAGGAGGGGTCTTTGTATGACTTGGTGAGGGTGTCTCTGTCTGCTGAACTCCTGACACTTTAATTTTCTTGCCAGCCAGTAGGGGACAAACTTCACCAAAGAATTCTTCAGCACTTGGGTACCAGGTAGATTCCAGCCTAAACATAAACTCACAAGGTGTCAAGGATATTTTCACCCTTGTGTTTACTCTTAATATTTTGGTTCTTAAAAGAAAATGAAGTATAATACATTATTTTTAAAAGTGCGTTGAGTTGTCTGCTTCTATTCACTGTATATGTATATTACCTATCTAATCTTGTCAGAAGATATTAAATGATTAGTGGTTTACCTGATAGCATGTCCTTACAAAGTTCTGTAAATACCTACCTTGAAAGAATGTAATTCATTCCTGTAAGATCCAGGTTCTGTTTCAGTGAAATCAGCAGTAGAACATGAATGACAGAAGGCATCAGTCACTATTCTTTGCCAGTCTGCCAGATCTGCAGAAACTCTGTGCTGGTACAGTAACACTGAGCCCCCAATTACCAGAAAGTGAGATGAGGAGCACACAGATAAAAGTCTGCAGGTAATGAATTAGAGTTATTTTCAGAAGCTACTGATGTTTGCTATTCAGCAATTTTATTAGTGCAAATAAAGTTAGCTGTAATAAGATCAGCACAATTCTTATTAGCAGTAAACACTATGACATTTTTCAAAGTAATTTGTTTTTGATGGGTGATGTACTGGCTATTGGAGAAAAATATACTATTAGTTTTTAACTGATGGCATTTAAAAACATAACAGAACAACCTACGTGGAATTGCTGAATATTTGAAGTTACTCCATAAACATACAAACTTGGAATGCTTTAGGTACATCTTTTGAGATATTGTAATGCTTTTTGTAGGTTGAGACAAAGAACAGAATACTCAAAGAATGTGCACATTCCTTGCAATCAGAAAGCATTATTCCATTCCCTGTAAAGGGAAGAAATGAGAAATTCTGCCAGATGGAATGCTTTGAGGCAGATCTGTTAATTTCCCAAAAGCCTGTAGCCTGTAATCTTTGCCTTAGACCACTGTGGGTGGGTTAAGAGTAAGTAAATTGGATTTGTTTGACACATTACACTGAACCGTTGGAAACTGATTTTAAAAATTAGAATCAATGTATTATCTTTTTAATAAAGAAAAAATGAGCTCCCACTTTAAGTTTATTTTTGAATTTTTCCCTATTTTTTTAAATCTACAGACAGCTAATATTCCTGTATCAAGACATCCTTTCTGCACCTGTTATTGGAACATTAAATCAAGTTTCAGTTGTCATGGCGGTCAGTAATAATTGATAAATAAGTATATGTAGTTACATATAACCACACATCTTCACAAAGGATTGTTTGAGCACCAAGAATAAGTTACATAATTTCAATCACACTTCTACTATGCATTAGTAATGTAGATGACTGTTTAGTTAATTTTTTCTTTTGATGATTTTGATGAAATAATCTTTTCAGGAAGTGAACCTCTTGTGGAACAGAATGACTTGGCAAGATGCCACAAAGAGAACAGCAGAGCCATGTTCTGCCACTTTGTTTTGGGCAGTCTTTTGCTCACTTGGTAATGCACCTTCACCAAGAAATGAGACTGCTGTACAGCAAATACCTAAATATATTTTTGCTGTTATTCCCCTTGAAAGTATAGGACATTTTCTTTAAGTACTCCTCAGTATGCTTTCCTAAGGCAGTGGGCCAAGATGTATGATTTGATAAAATTCTCTTCAATTTCAGACACTTGAATTTTCTTTTTTTTTTTTTTAAAGATACCATTCTACAAATCAGGATTATGTGAAGCATATGTAGAGAGACAAGGAGCTACTGTAAGTGCTGAAAGATATTTCACTTCTTCAGACAATTACATTTGTTTGTGACAACTGTTGATAAAGACAAGTATTTTTCATAGGGCAAGCAATTTGCTCTACAGAAGAGAAGTTTCAAAGTTTAAAAAGAAAAGCCCATTTTGCTGTCAGAATGTTTCTCGTTAATCTGAGTATTGTAAGTATATTCAATCAGTCAAAAGTTTTAAGAAACTCCCTGAGCAATTTCACTGTATTCCTCTGTTGTAGTGGGGTCCTAATCCTGATCAAAAGCATTAACATTTGAC